GAGCAAAAGGAGCAGTATATTAATAACTGTTTTCTTATGTTTTATTTTTTTCCACCGATGTTGCGTCTGATCGAACGGGTTCAGGCTCAGAAGGAAATGGGATCTCCCTCCTCCTTCCTTTTTCGTACCTGTTTAAAATTTTATGTTGCATATTTAAAATAATTTTCAAAGCTCAGACATCTTTTTTCAATCGGGGAAAGAAACGCGTTCAATTTTCCCGTTATTTTTGCAAGCTTAAGTACTCGTAATATAGCGTGAGCGTCCGCAACAAAACGTTAACACTCGTATCTAATGGCGTTTACTTCTTATATGTCCGTATCAAATCGTATCTGAGCGGAAATATGCCGTATCAGCTCGTGAGAAGTAGGAGCACGCAAATCGTCACAGATAGTGACAGAACGTGAGATATCTTAACGAATCGCTGATCAGCGGGATGTTTGTCCTGTCCGAGATCGATCCCGATGATCACGAAATGAAAGCTAGATTAGATGCGTTTACTTACGATGCAGCTGAGGTAAGTTACGTTGTGATGCGATTCGATGCGATGATTACGATTAAAATCTAATCGTGTTAATCGTAGAAAAATTTTTGACGGTCAAAAAAAATTTCGCGATCAACACGATAGCCACGAGTGAACACAAGATTTGTTTCGGTTGGATACGATCACTACGATTTGTCCACGTTCGAGTCCCCGATTTCAATCGTGGCGCCAATCGTGATAGTGGGAACATAGCATTACATGCAAATCGAATGCACCAAATGAGCTAAGAATGATAACTCCAGTTTAAATAAATTTTTTAGGAGATAGAGGGAGAGGGAGAGAGAAATAAATACTAGTAAATTGATGAGATGATTCTTTAGAAAAACCAGTCATTTTTACCAAACCAATCATTTTTATTGATTAATTCATTTTAAAAATAAAGTAAACATGTACTCGATCACAAATAAATAAATTAATTCTAAAAAGTCAACTGATACATAGGTAGAAGAAATATTCTTAAAAAATATTATTTAACCTTTTCGGGCAGGAATTTAAAAAAGTATAAATTTTCAAAGTTTGAATAATTTGTATAACGTTGATATATTTCATTAAACAGTCTGTTCACTGTAAAGCTCCTAAAATACCCTTTTCAACAAGAAACAAGAACATTATGGAGTTGTAAAACACATAAAATGAAACTCTGTTTTACTTCAAATGGTGTACCATGATATTGTATGAAACCCATTGAAAAGAAAAATAATCTGAATTTGAATAATGTCCGAAGTCGCTTCACAATCAAATCTTCCTTCCCAATGTTCAATTATTTTAACCTTTCTGTCCCTTATCACCAGTTTATGCAAACTGATAATAAATTCTTTCAATAACTTTCTTTTTATCTTCAGCTAGGCCTACACTTATTTTAAAGTTATTTAAAATATTTTTTGACTATTTCTAATCAAATTTTTGCGTCTTGAAATGTGGTGCCTTCTAGAGAAAATTACATATTTTATGTATAATATAGTCCCATGTATATTCCCTTGTTAGACTCCCCCCCCCCCATTTTTTGCAAAGATAGATATAGGCATTGACAATTGGAGTTTACCTTTTTTGTTGGATTAGCCCCCCCCCCCCCCCCCCCCCCCCCCCTCCCCCACACACACTTTCAATTATCCCCCCCCCCTTTCAATTTGCTTCCGACGCCTATGTGTTAATTATATTTTCTAACTTTATATTTTATGATCAACGAGAATCGCAGAAAGCCAATTAATGAGTTGAATTGGGATTAAGGTTTCCCTCTATCATTTATTTTACTTATCAAATTAAGTCAACAAATCAACATCGATTAAACCACTTAGATCCGACAATCCTGCAAGGAAAATAAAAGAGGGATAGTGCTTAAAAGATGTATAAACATCTCAATGAAACAATTTTTAATATATTTTTTGATAGTTTAAAATATATTTCAATTTACAATATATACGTACATGTTATATTGTACAAAATTAAACAGCATTTTAATACCTAAAATTGTTCTCTCCTGGGTAAGGAACTTATACTCGTATATATATGTACATGTACAGTATGCTTAGTATATATAGACTTTTTATAGGTATCCACAGAGAGAGAGAGAGAGAGAGAGAGAGAGAGAGAGAGAGAGAGAGAGAGAGGGGGGGATTTAAATCGCGTTCGGAGCTCCTCGGGTCATATCCTGAAACGTATAGTAATGAGCCGAGGAACTTCGCGCTTTCTTTCTGATACTATCGGTGATTGGTTGAAAGGAAAGCGTGGGTCAGCGAAGTGAAGCGCGTCACAACAAAGGGGACACTCAATACGAGAATTGACCTTTTGTTTACAGATTACAGTTGCAAGACGGATATTTTTCATTTTCATATTGTAGTGAAATGGTAAGAATCAGCTTTGATATTGATATATTTTCAATGATTTGTTTCTTGTTTTGATTCGATTAGGTTGATTGCATACTGAGGGACCTACTATCGTGACTAGCACATGTGTCCCTGACACACCTGTTGCAAGTCATTTGTAATATTGGGGTTTTATCAAATATTGAAATCATGACAACTCATGTAAGCATTTGCATTTGCACTGACATTTCAATACTTTATTTCAGACTACCAAGGACTGAAAGGATCTCTGCATTTTGCCTTCGAGTGAAACAAATAATTTTAGTGTGTTTGAACAAATCTTTGTTCAAGAGTTGATACAAGTTACCAGTGCAGTTATTAGTGTTAGAATTAACTGCCTTTGCAGAGTAATATGGCTAATCAAAGTAATTAACACTAACGGTAATTTTTAGGCGGACATTGTGCCAGTCCAAGCTCAACAATTATAACACCCCAAATGCCGAGACGGTAAACGGTAATGCCATGTTTATTTGGGCAGCTCGTCTCGCATTTTGAAATGAAACGAGTTTCTCAATTAGCTACTAACTTGCGTTTATGACACTTGGGATTATGAGATAAAATTGTAATCTAGACGGCCATCACAAATCATCGAATACAAGGACATCTGAGGATATTCTTCAAACCAAGATGAAAACAACCAGAATCGTCAGTGCAAGGAAAAAGACCTTGAGAGACAACGAACAACATTTCAAGAAAGCATGTGACCAAATAATACAACTCAACAACAAAATGTCGGATCTACAGGCAAGATACAAGAAAGCCACCAAGGAAAATCGTCGTCCTTTTAGATATACCCTCAGACTGAAAATTGCCATTTACGATGGCATGAGAAATGTTTATTATGAATACGCCCATGGAAAAGCTCGGGCTATTGCGGATCTGAGACATGCATTGTACGGGGAAAATGTACAGATTGTGTCCGACGAATTATCAGCATCTGGGTCGGAAGATGAATAAGGACGAGAATTCGGGCTGTTAAAATGTGATCACATGGTTCTCTGAAATTTAATTTCATATAATTAATGTATGTTCTCATAAATTTGAATGTTGTTACTTCTTTTGTATATCTATGATATGCAAATTATATGAGAATGAATTTTGTTAAAATAATGTTAATTATGTGTATTTTATTTTTTCCCTTTACTTTCATCATTCTCCTTATGTTTCTGTTTATAAACATACATTAGAAGAATTCTTTAAGACTGAGTGCCATCTGAGCACGGGTCCAACTGCAGCAAAAAAGGGAATCAGCCTAAAATAAGCTTTACTTTGTGGAGGCCTCAGGGGGAGGGAGGGGTACAATGTAGATACTACAAGTATATATGTAAGCCTTAAGGGCCTACAAAATAGCCTTAATTTCTCTAATTGATTTATCTTTCATTTTAATTTTAATCTCTTGTCTCTACAATGTATATTTGTAAATTAAAAGAGGATAATTCATTGTCATTTTGAATAATAACACATTTCAACTTTGGTATGAACTTGTTTCATGTTCTATGGAAATGCCCCGGTCGCACGTAGCGTCGTTTTAAATGGGGGGGGGGGGGTACGAAAAAAAAAATGGAGTAGATTCCTTGAAAAAAAAAACATTGACAAGTTAAAAATAAGGCATTGTGAAGTTATGCAAACTCGAAAATATATGCAGATAACTCAATGCGAGATATCTTACAAAAATTTCTATTTGCTCAAACAACGGTCAACGTTCAATTTATTATTTATAACAGTTTAGTACTTAGTTTTTAATGCATTTACATAGAAATGCATACATAAAGACGTTCTGTAGAGAATTTTTTTTTCCTATGAGCTCAAAAAAAGAATTTCATTCCATAACAACCCTATATCCCAAAATACCCCTCCTAATCTACAATATACGACTACAGTACACATGCATGATATAAGGTCTTACAAGTACTATTTTTATCACAATGAGATATTTATATACATCCTTAATTTCATCAATGTGTAAAATACCTGACTGCAGAATGAAAAGTTGCAAAACCACGCCCTACAGTACAATAAAACCATTTACTGTCCGTTACTCACTCAGAATGTATGACCCGATGCTTGAGAGTGTGTTGGGGAAAGGGGGCGGTTTAAAGCAGCCCTATATTCACTACAATGACGTATTGATTCAAATAAAGCGGAGAATTGATGTGTTTGTTTCTAGAGAATCTTATCTTTGTATAAAACTTTCCCAATCTTATTAAAATTAGACCTTTGGAAGATGCATATCCTCATCCGCTTTAATATTTTATGCGCCAGTAAGATTGGAAGAATATAGTTTTGCCCTGTTTGTCTACAAACTAGTTTCTTGGAGGAGGGGATGGGGTTTGCTCTGGAAACTTAATGGTTATATGGAGTAGGGTGTTGTTTCTATCTTTTTTAATTTTATTTTTCGTGTGAATTCATTGTTCCTTAATTGGTGACAAACAGACAGACAAGGCAAAAACTATTTAACCCCGAATCTTCGATCACGGGAGCATAAATATATTTTTCAAAAAAACTCTTTCGCTTAAATTGCACAACAACAAAAGTTGGCATACCTATCAACCAAAACCACAACTATTTTCTTATTTGAGTATAATACAAAAATGCGGTAAAATTTTTATTCTTTTATTTTTCAAACAAAAACATAACAATGGCATATACAAGTTAACAATTAAAGTTCCTTTCGGATAGTGCACTTAGTTTCCAAATGTTCATGAGGAAACGTGAAGGCCTGATAACTCAATCCCCCATCTTAATCTCCACCTTCCTCTGGCCCCTCTTCATCACCGAAAGATCGAAAAACAGCCATTTTTCCCGGTGACCCAGTGTCGGTACCCGTAGTTTTCAGGTGTTCCATGATGGACTTCAGGTAGTTCATCTGGTCGGGGCCTGGAATATTGGAAAGCAATGTTGAAATTATGCAAGAATTTTTGGTTTACACGGCAAATACGTATACATACAGGGATCTTTTCATCAACTTTGAAAACTAAAATGAAATATCATGGAGAGTAACTATCGATAACTTCAACTCAATTTCAATTTCCTTGATCGGAACCAAATTTATAAATGATCCAGGGAAGTCATTATATAGTGTATATAAACTGGTTATTTTTTGAACCTATATATTTTATGTTGGCTTATATACTTACTAAGGAACTTGGAAACAAACGTGGTGAGGTTTTCGGTTGTCATGCGGCTGTCAATGTCTTTGAAGGTCGATTCCACTGCTCTAACATACTTGGTGTACAAGGGGAGGATCTCGGCGATGACGGGCGCGGGGTCCGTTATATATTTTGCCAAATAATTTTTCAGCCACATCTCTGCCTCTTTGAAAAAGTCTTCCTTCAACCTGTTAAATGCAGATATTATAGAAAATGAGATTATCCTTTTCATGATTTAAAATACAACAGATTCACATATGAGTTAATATTTTAAAAATTTATATTCACGCCAACTTTTAGACAAATGCAAATTATAACTCTTACCACTAAACTTTATTGACCTACATGTAAAGTAGGAAACCCTACTGATGAAATAACCTGGAATATACACAATAAGATGCATGTATGTAGCTTACATTTCCTGGAAATCCTTGTAAAGTTCCCTGTGGTATTCCCATAGTTCACCAAGGCGAGGGCATCTGAACTCTATGTTACTGTCGAACATGACCTCCTTTAGTTCCTTTTCAAATCTGGTAATGGTCCAGCTTTCCTTCTCACCTGTTCTTAACATTATCCTCACCCTCCCAAAGAATTGCATGACATCTGAAAAAATGGTGTCATTTTTTAATAACATTTTTATATTAAATTTACAAAGTTAAATACATATATCCAAAATGAATCGTCTATAATTTGAGGTAGGATTTAAAGCGATATCATAATCCACAACATAAAGAGTAGACAGGCAAATAATTTACACATATCTACATGATTGTATACATGTAATGTAATTTATTTTAAATTAAGGTCATATATATTCACCATTACTCAAGATGAACATGTCCTCAGGAAAACTGGTCAATAAATTGTTCCGAACAAGAGGGGACATATGTATATGTTCATGTAATCTTAAAAATGTACTTAAGTCTCCCCCCTCCTCCATTCCCCCCAAAAATATTAATTCAGATTGTTATTTTCAAGAAATAGACTCAAGGAATCTGGTCTTAAATCTCCAATAAAATAATTAATAAACCCGTATCTAACCTTGCAAAGGGAAGTATCTGATGTTCATCATGGTTCCAAAGACGTGTGTGTGGGCGGCCTTTACCATGGTCCTCATGACGTCATTCAGCGTGGACTCGTCCGTAATATACTTCGATAGAATTCTTTTTACAGTCGTGTACATACTCTTTTCGTCGTTCGAAGTTAGTTTACGCTCTTGGTCCTTCAGAACATCTGCATCAAAAAGGATAAATTGCTACATCACATGTGTATGTGGTAAAATTTACATATGTGGTCAAATTTAAAAATAAATTAATGAATAGCAGGCAAATTTCATGACCAAAAATGGTTGTTGGCAAATGTTTTATTACACCACAATTTATGAGAGTGGTGCCAGTCTCTTTAATATTCGAACACAGAACAACTTACATTGGAAAAATTCTTATAACCTAAAGACCATCGTTCCCATTTGTGCTTTTAAAAAAATTAAGAGCTTCAGATTACATGTATACTACATGTACATTGTATAATACTTTCCAGCAATAAGATAAAATCTAAAATATACTCACAAAAAATCATTTGGTTAAGTTTTGATGTTGCACACTGGAATCTAGCATTCAAGAAAGTGCCGGTTGTGTTGAGGAACATCTCTTTGAAAGACATATCGGACGGGTTCCCCGCGATCATGTTGAACCAGTCCTTTAACATCATAACAAATCTTTCACGGGTCAGTGGCATTGTTGCTGGAAATATAACATCCAATCACATGAAGCGCATTGAACTGATAAAATTCCATTTAAAAGGAACGTTTTTTTTTTTTTTTTTTGTTTTTTAAAAGAAATTTGTTATATAATGACACGTCTATTTCATTAGGATGGAAATGTGTCATTGGAATACCTGCATAAAAGGTTTTTTCCACAAAAATCCTGTCAAATTAACAGTCTATGTAAACCCAGAGTAAACACGTGTTCGACCAAACTTCAAATGGAGTTCGGTCGAACACGTGTTTACTCGAGGTTTACGCAGACTAAATTAAATAATTCTATCCCGATAAATTCATAATTATAAACATATTCGTTCCAATACTTGTAATACAAAAGCTTGGTCTCTATCTCTGTTCCAACTAAATAAAATTTCAACTTCAGCGTATAGCTCATGTTGCAATTCGCAGAGAGTGGGGTGTTCTAAAGAATTATACGAATATTCTTGTTTCTATCAATCTCTGTAAAAATGGGCGTGTCATTAATATGTCGATAGAAAACAAACTTTCCACGCAAACGAAAATTTTTACCACTTAAACGCGCTTCATATGATTTCCAAATTTGTACTTACATGTGAACGTTCCACTGGGGAAACTGCCGAAGTATGGTTTCAGAAGCCTGTCGAACAATTCAAACAACATTTTGTATTCTTCTTCTGAGAAATCATTGTCCACGTCATTGGTTGAATCACTGTCGTCATCATCCGGTGCACCCGGACCAGGTAGGGGTGGGGTAAAGGTGGCCGTATCTGCCCTGGCCACGAGTTTCTCTAGTTCCCTGACGATAACACGTAGCTCATTATCAGGGTTGCTTGGTCTTGAAAGCGAATCTAAAATATGTACATAAATATATATAATTCTTCGATACCTACCATGTGTAAAATTAAAGTAGAAACCGGCAATTATCCCATCTCAGGCGTGTTCGAATAGTTTAACAATTTTATTCTAGTATACTTAAAATCTTAAATTGAATTACTGTAAATTAAGACTTACAATGAATGACTGCAACCAATACCACGAGGACTTTCAATGATTCCATACTAGAAGCTTCTGCCACGTCCACTGCCTGCCGTCTCGGGTAGCACGCACTCACCCGCTCACTCTTTATATACTTGTAGTAACGCATCGTTTGGTGCGGCGTGTAGTGATTGGCTGTCTGATTTTGCTGACATGTGAGTTTGCATTGCATGGGGCCAGTTTAAGAGTTTTGACTGTAGTTTATTTATAATGAATGATTTTGAAACAAGATTTTGCACAGTGCAATAAAAAAAAGACGTCGGTCACGATAAAAATGCATCAATATGTGAACATTTTTTTTGTACAAGCTGACAAGTATTAACATAACCCTATGGGAAACCTCATGTGCTGTTAGATTTTTCAAAATATAATTATTTTTATCTACTTTTTAATTCTTTCACTTGCGTTTCAATTTCACAAAAACTTTTCAGTGTTTGGTATGTTTTTTTTTAATCTTTCACTTCCACGACATTGCCTTTAAGGAATTAAAAAAAAACACATAGTATACTACAGGTCTGGACGATTTTCAAATAAGGAAGTCAAGTACGATAACCGTGAATTGCTATTAATACACAGAATAAACAAGGCACTAATCCTTCTGACCAATCAGATAACAGCATTTAGACAAACCCATGAGAAAATAAATAAAACACGTGGTTATCATGTTTTTTGCTTAAAAGATTTTTTAGAACAAACTTTTTGTAAACTTTAAGCGCATTTGGGAATAATATAATATTTATGACAATTCTATAACCTTGAACAAACACGACTTGAAGGCTTAGAAACGTTTTAACAGGTCGAGGAAACTATTTTCTGTGACGTCGGAATAAATTTACATGTTAAGTGAGGAACCAACGTGACTGACAAATCGACCAATCAGCTCAATGAGTTGCATTATGGTTTACTACAAAAATACTACACGTGTGTTTCTAAAAGGCCAATTTTTTAAATCGCTCTCGGAAAAACGTGATGCATTTTTCCAAGCATTTTACACACTTAATACAATATGAACAGCATTATCTACTAATTCCATGATCACATTTATATACAAATGATTTATAATGATAAAAATTTGGGTTTTCTCCACTCCATTGAACAAGTCCGTTTGTTTACAGCGTTCCCTGTGCTATACTGTCAGTGACAAGTCAATTTCACGTGATTCCTTGGTCCAAAAAACAATCAGCTCTGAGGTGTGCTCACGTATTGTCAACGTTTACTACGTATACAACTTCGAAATATATGCTTCTCACGTTCTATGATCAATGTGCATGAGGATTTAATTATATAACAGGTAAAAAGTTTTTAAGTGTTTGTTAATGTGAGCATGGAGAATCTTAATTAGTACCTAATCTTCGTATTTTTCACAAACACATTTCAAAAAATTGTTAGCTGACTTTCCTACAGTCATTTGAAATCGCATTCCTAAATTTCCCTGACTCACGTGTTTGTAGTAAAAATAAACATGTAGTAGACCATCATGCTTTTCGGCTTATTCACTGGATTGGACCATTGTTTGCTGTGAGCACCTCTGTGCGCAGTCGCAACAATATCCATATAAGGTAGTTTCCTCGACCTGTTTAAAATATGTTTTGTGGCATGTAAAAATGCTGTAGTCTGATTGGTCAGAAAAATATTTACGTTTACTTGATGTCCATTTATAGCAACTTTCGGTTATCGATGTAGACTTCCATATGATTTGAACATTTTAGAATTTACGCTATCCCAGGATGCTTCCACATAAGTTTCAGCTTTTCTGGCACAGTGGTTCTTGAGAAGAAGATTTTCAAAGATGTTTCCTATATATTTCTATGTAAAACTTTGATTCCCCATTGTGGCCCCGCCCAATCCCCGGGGGTCATGATTTGAACAATTTAGAATCTACACTATCCCAGGATGCTTCCACATAAGTTTCAGCTTTTCTGGCACAGTGGTTCTTGAGAAGAAGATTTTCAAAGATTTTTCCTATATATTTCTATGTAAAACTTTGATTCCCCATTGTGGCCCCGCCCAATCCCCGGGGGTCATGATTTGAACAATTTAGAATCTACGCTATCCCAGGATGCTTCCACATAAGTTTCAGCTTTTCTGGCACAGTGGTTCTTGAGAAGAAGATTTTCAAAGATGTTTCCTATATATTTCTATGTAAAACTTTGATTCCCCATTGTGGCCCCGCCCAATCCCCGGGGGTCATGATTTGAACAATTAAGAATCTACACTATCCCAGGATGCTTCCACATAAGTTTCAGCTTTTCTGGCACAGTGGTTCTTGAGAAGAAGATTTTCAAAGATTTTTCCTATATATTTCTATGTAAAACTTTGATTCCCCATTGTGGCCCCGCCCAATCCCCGGGGGTCATGATTTGAACAATTTAGAATCTACACTACCCCAGGATGCTTCCACATAAGTTTCAGCTTTTCTGGCTCAGTGGTTCTTGAGAAGAAGATTTTTTAATGACCCTACCCTATTTTTTGTCTTTTCTTGATTATCTCCCCTTGCGAGGGGATATGTCCCTTCATTTTAACAATTTAAATTCCCCTTCACCCAAGAATGCTTTGTACCAAGTTTGGTCAAAATTGGCCCAGTGGTTCTTGAGAAGAAGTCAAAAATGTGAAAAGTTTACGGACGGACAGACGGACAGACGGACGGACGGACGACGGACACAATGTGATCAGAAAAGCTCACTTGAGCCTTCGGCTCAGGTGAGCTAAAAACCTTACTTATTTGGGATACCAAAGAGAGATAACTCTATAATTTTGGCAAAACTTGTGTTTTCCACTATAGAAATCAACGGAAAACTGAAAATATTTTTTAAACAACTCCCCCCCCCCCCCCCCCCCCGTGAAACAAAAATTCCTTTTTACAGATAACATGGACTGTTATTTTACAAATTTATGCCCAAGCTTTTTGTGTTTCACGGGGGGGGGGGCATATGTTTATAGACAAAAAACGAAAAAAAAAATGCTTATTTTTCACCAATTTTAAAGCTATTTAAAACTAAATAATTGTATTTTATCAATTTAATATATATGTTTTATTTATTTACGTAAAACATGAGAAACGATATTAGATACATGTTAAATGAACAATTCCTATGAAAATATCATGTAAGTTAAATACCTGGAGGTTAACAGAGAGATTATCAGATATGGTATCAAATTAACATCGAAAGCAGACAGGTACTTAATATAATTAAATGTAATTAAAGTAATTAATATTCTGAATGTCCTGAAAATGAACATAAATAGACTTTGAGATTTAAAAGAAAAAAATTTCGATTTACTACAGACTTCCTTGTACAGTGCTTATATTGTATTTAGAATGCTCTTTTTTTTCAAATATCATTGACACTTAAGTTTACGAGTTGTAGAAATAGATACATCTGGGTGGGAATGATGAAGAGTTGAGCTGATAGACCTTAATTCAGTCAGTCTTTTCTTCGTTGTCCGTTTCTAGGTTTTCCTCAATCCATCAGTTTTTAGAAAGCAACACATCAAAGTAAGGGCACCGCAAAGCGGAGCATTCCTTCCTAAAAAGCATGTTCAGTAAATCAAGGCAGCATTTGACATCGATCGCGATACAAATTACGTCAATTCCACACAGAAAAAAATAACATACACATAAAGTAATAACACACATAATCGCATCACTATATCCCATCATACGTTGCGAGGGGGTAATACTGTTGTCTATTTCTAAAATATAAGTCTAATTCCTTTTGTTTCATGAAAATTTTTTCAAAGTGCGTTAAATGTTGACATGGTGTAAAATTATGATGTACAGTCTTAACGCACTTTGAAAAATTTTTTCAAAGTGCGTTGATTTGGTCCCAAATTCAACGCACTTTGAAAAATTTTTTCAAAGTGCGTTAACCTGGTCCCAAAAATTAACGCACTTTGAAAAAATTTTTCAAAGTGCGTAATTTTTCAAAGTGCGTTGTAACACTGCATATTTCATAATTAACATCCATTCTCAAATGCATTATTCATATCCCGCAAACTAAAGTACAATGTAGCAGGGATAAACACGTTTTAATTATACTTATTTTTAAAGAAATATAGAAAAGTAACAAATTTATTTTATACCATTGATAACATTGAAAAATACTTAACCATTTATAGCTCTTGTAACATTTTTAAAGCACGGCTATATCTTTGCTTCAGAAAATAAGAATCTCCCAGTAGGTACATGTTCAGGACCACACCTCCCCAAAATTTTGATATTTCCATCATTCACAACCAAATAGATCAAAATATATACATGATATATATCAATTCTAGACATCATGTTTATTAATCTTTTCTAAAAAGAAATGAAAGAAATTCAAAATTCAAGTCCGATTTTCATTTTCTGTCTTTGACAATAATTTGATGTAAGTTTTCTTGTTTCAATACACAATAATTACTGTGCTCATGTCAAACTAGCTGTTAAGTAAACCAAAACCTTTTAGAAATTCGCTCACTTGTTTACCATGTTTATACCAATCTTCTGCTGCACTTGTTTATTGATGATAAAGTGGGAAACTGGCCTCTCTGCAGGACACCAGGGTGATTACGGAATTAAAGAATGGGGTTAACTTTGTGGTACTGATTTCCGTAATATGACTATCTTGATGCTAAACTGAGAGAGAGAGAGAGAAAGAGAGAGAGAGAGAGAATAACACGATATTGTATCGTTTGGGAGTCGTGCGAGAGTTTGACAATTTGATGTTATGTAACTAAACGCTTCATAAAATGAAGTATTTTATGTATGTGAGAGGATGTGAACAGAGTGTACAGAACTTATGTATACGTTGTGAAAATTAATGTTGTTAATACTTTTAAAATATATATATAAACACACTCAGATGTATTAGAAACAGGAATCGTCCCATCATACAAGCCCGCTGTTAAAGTTCTCCGGGAATCATGCAAAACATATGCAATAACGTGTAAAACTAATAACAACTGTAAACTAGTAATTTAATATTAATAAAATGTACAAAAAATTAACGTATTTGAATACACACTCACCATCTTGTCTTCCCGAAGCCAATTTTTCGCCACAAATTGAGCAAAAGATATCTCTTTGATCATCTGCACCACAAGATGGACAATTATTCATCTTGTAAGTTCGCGTTCAAACAT